TGCAATGACGCCGAATGTAGAAGACCACAGACCAGTGGGTAGAAAGTCTTTGGATCCAGTGGCATTGGAAACATCTCAGCGCTGGCAGGGGTCTCTGCATGGCTTCTCCAGCACCCAGGGCTGCATTAGGGTGGGTCCATGTGTCTTGTCAGCTGCTATGTCTCCCAGGGTGTGAGCAGAGTCTCCCACCTCCAAGGAGGAAACACTGGAATTCCCAGAATCCTCAGGGGAAGGCTATGCCCACACAGAAGCCTCATTGGCTGTGACCTGATTGACAGGCTAGACTCTACCCCTACACACTTAATCCTTAAATTGACAATTATATAACTGCCACAGAAACCTTATAGGACAAGAGTAGATCTGCCCCATAAAGCTTTCAAGGCTGTCAATCTTTACAGAAACAGAAAGCCTTACCTTCCACTGGTGGGCTCAAACTGCTGACCTTGTGGCTAGCAACCCAACCCAACCCACTAAGGCTCCTCTGAGAATGACCCATTCCAGATTCGATTCTTCCTTTACAGTCACTCTTTCATTACTTCGCTCAACCACAAAGAGTCAGCCCTGTGTTGGGCAGATCCAGAAAGCAGTTCTCTGCCTCCAACTAAGACCCAAACTCACTGCTGACCCTATTTCAAACACTGGGGGAGGCAATCTTTGGAGGATTATTTCCAGAATAAGCTATGGGCCAGAGGAGGAAAAATTTGCTCTTGTTGCTTTTTAGTATACCCTATTTTAGATTCCAGGAGCCCTGGTGGTATAGTGGATTAGGTGTTGGCCGCCAACCACAAGGTCATCAGTTCGAATGCAATAGCTGCTCCATGGGAGAAAGATGAGGCTGTCTGCTCCTTTAAAGGTTTACAACCGCAAAAACCCACAAGGGCAGTTCTACTCGGCCCTATAAGGCCACTGTGAGTTGGTATCAATCCAATGACCGTGGGTTTGGTTTCTTTTAGATTCAACATTTCTCTTCTACTATCCTAGTTGGGACTGCTAATCTCAAAGTCAGTGGTTCAAACCCACCACCTGCTCCATGGGAGAAAGATGAGGCTGTCTGCTCTCCCAAAGACATCATGCCTTGGGGATGTGGAGGGGCAGCAAGAAAGAGGAAGGCCCTCAGTAAGATGAATTGACTCAGTGGCTTCAGCCATGGGCTTAAACACAGGAACAATTGTGAGGATGGCACTGGACCGGGCAGTGTTTTGTTTTGTTGGCCATGGGCTCCCCAGGAGTCAGAACCGACTGGACAGCACCTACCAACAACAGCCACTGGGACTCTATGGCTCCTGGAAGTCCTAGGAGCCATGTTCTGTGTGTATGGGATCTGTGTGTGTGAGTCAGGCTGAACGTCTCTTGTTGTAGGCTAGAGGTTGAGGGGTTGGACCCACAGGAAACTCAGCCTCCAGAGGAGACAGTGTGGTCAGCACTTACTAATAGATGAGCTTCGAGCTTCTCCATGTGCTGCGCACCCTGGCCCCCCCTCGCAGACTGAGGGTAGAGCTATGCACCAGCCCCATCCACCAGTGAAACTGTCTGTTGATGAGGTCATTCTGAGAGCGCCCTTCAGGGACTGAAGGCCTTCTGGACACAGGCTGGAGAGATACAGACGCTTCAAGATGACTTTCTGTGCCTCTAAAGTAGTGACTCATGTTCATTTTCCTCCTCTTTACCTTCTAATGTTTAAGGAGCTTGCGTGGCACTGACTCCATGGCAGTGAGTTTGGGTTGGAGAGTTTGGCGGCACGGTGGTTAAGCATTGGGCTGCTAACCACAGGGCTGTCTACTCCCATAAAGATTTACAGTCTTAGAAGTCCTGTGCAGGCCAGTTCTACTCTGTCCAGTAGGGCCTCTCTGTGGCTCTGGATGGACTCAAGGTCAACAGGCTGGATTTCTTTGGCGCCCTGGCTGTGCTGCCAGGTAAGCTTTGGACTGCTAATCACAAGGCTGGCCTTCAAACCCACCAACCACTCCTTGGGAGAAAGATGAGACTGTTTGTTTACTGCCTCGAAAGTCCTAGATAGAGTTGCTATGAATCCGGATTGGCTCGATGGCAGTAGGTCTAGTTTAGCATCTAGACACGCTCAGTAGAAAACCAGGTTAAAATCGCATCTATAGTCCATTCCAACCATCCCATCACAGATTGGGTGTGAGATGGGGTGGCATGTCCTCACATCACCCTTAGCCATCACTCAAGGATGACTGATGCCTCTCTTTATCCATCACTCACTCAGCCACCAGGGCACACACTGTGTGTGTGTGTGTGTTATCTCCATTACATTCCCTACCCCCACCACACCTAATCCCTTGAGTGATATTAGAGCCCACGTGGCATTTAGCATAACATCTCAGGGGAGCTGGGCCCTGGTGAGTACAGTGAGCACTGGTAACCAGGGCTGGATGCCCCAGGGTACATCCATCAGGGCGTCTGAGGGAGTGCACAGTGGGGGCACAGGGTAAACGAATCACTACGCAGGGCCTGGCGCTGTCATGACCTCTAATAACTGATTTCAAATACAATACAACTTCCACCTTGCCTCTTTGCAGCCCCTGCAGACCCACGCTGGGGTGTGCCTCGGCTTTAAGACGTATGAGACACCAAACAGGAAGACGAGAAGTAAGGATCACGAATGAGCGGGATGTGCACTTGCATAATGGAGCACTTGAGGAGCCCTGGTGGTGCAGTGTTCAAGCACACTGGCGGCTAAAGGGAAGGTGAGTGGTTCGAACCCACCAGCAACAAGGCAGAGAAAGATGGCAGCCTTGGCAGCCCTCCTGGGCAGCTCTGTTTGGTTCAGAAACAGCACTTAGCAACTAGGACACATGTCATAGCTATTTTTTTCTTTTTAGTAGCCAAGACATTTTATTTTTCTTCTTTGTTTTAAGTTACTGCTTCATTCCCCCCCAATAAATAAATAAATAAAAAGAATATTATTGTAACCGAAACACCAGAAAATGTGACAAAAAATCATCAACTATAAGAATCCTGGCAGCACTAAAAACAGCTGTGTATTCTTTTGGTTTTTTGGGGGGTGGGGTTGGGTTAATTTTTTGATTAGTTGAGATTTAATAGCTGTATCATATCATTCCACATTTCAATCCTGTCAAGTAGAATTGCACAGTTGTTCTCACGAATAGATACATTCGTATGTAATGTTTTACCCCAGTTTGGCCAACTACTATAATTCAGGGCAAGGTACGACCCTCTTTGAATACGAAATAAATAATACCAACGATTAAAAATAGATAAATTAAACACACACACACACACACCATGAGGGAACCAGGAGCTCTGGTGGCACAAAGGTTAAGCACTGGGATGCTAGTCACAAGGTTGGCAGTGGCAGCCCACCAGCTCCCCGGGAGATAAAGTCCTGGCCCTCTGCTTCTATCAGGATGACTGCTAAGAACACCCGATGGGGCAAGTCTCCTCTGTCACACGGGGTGGCCCTAAATCAGCTTAGACTCCGTGGCACCCAACAGCAATGGCATGCTATCAACCTACCCCTGCAGATTTCTTGGAAGAACAACTGAACAAGAATGTAGAGCGTCTTATTAAAACAACGTGTTAGCCAGAGACCAAAGAGACGTTGCCTTCACATCTCGGTGGCCAGCCCTCTGTGCTGCTGTGTGTAAACAGGAGCTGCGTCCTGGCTGGTTGCCAGCTCATGACGACCTGCTACTTCACAGAAAGAGACATTGCCTCGTCTTGCACTGCCCGGTGATCCTTGGTATGTCTGCGTCCTTTGGGATGACTAGTGTGTCACCCCATCTCAACCAAGGGTTTCCCTCAGGTGCATGAACACAAATTCGCTTCACAGGCCTCTTTAGAGCACTGAAGAGCAAGGATGTTACTTTGAGGACTAAGGTGCACCTGGCCCAAGCTTATGGTATTCTTCATTGCTTCATATGCATGTGGAAGTTGGATATTGAATAAGGAAGACCACAGAGAATTAATGCACTTGAACTGTGGTGCTGGAGCAGAAGATTGAAAGCCCCAGCCACTGCTCAAAGGACAAACCGATCTGTGTTGGAAGAAGTGAGGCCCGAGGGCTCCTTAGAGGCAAGGATGGCAAGACTGTGTCTTACGTACTTTGGGCATGTTATCAAGATAGACCAGTCCCTGGAGAAGGGCAGCATGCTTGATAAAGTAGAGGGGCAGCGAAAATGAGGAAGACCCTCAAGGAGATGGATGGCCACCGTGGCTGCAACAATGGGCTCAACCACGGGGGCCATTGTGAGGTGACTGAGCAGTGCTTCGTTCTGCTGGACGGAGGGTCACTATGGGTCAGAACCAAGTCAATGCCACCTGACACCACCACCACCACCAACAACAACAACAACAATAACGACTAGCTGGAGGTAGGGATCAATTAAACTGGGTCAGCAAATCTGATGGCCATTATTGTAGACATTCCAATACCTCAGTTTGCTCATCCATATGATACGTGAATCATCTTTATGATGTTATATGTATGATATGTGACTATTATATCAAGAAAACTACTTTTAAAAAGGAACCAAACTCGACCAATAGCCAATGGTTACTGTGGATACAGGAGGAAGAGTTTTTGCTTAGGAGGACTAAGTTCTGTTAGTGGTGGTAGAATACTTTGGAACAGGGTATCAACTGTGCAACTCAAAGAACATGATCAATGGCGCTGGAACATACATGTAGAAGTTGTTGAATTGGAGAATGTTCTGTTGTGTGCATTTTTGCCACCATTTAAAAGTAATTAGACAAATAAAATAATTAGACAAAAAAATAATTAGACAAGAAGAAATTGTTCTAAAATTGATTGTGGTGGTGATTGCACAACTCTTTTTTTGTTTGTTTTATAGATTTTATTTAATGTTAATAAATTTTATTTAAGGAGTTTGACATATCTTTGTCATCCATTGGTTCCTCTAAATCTTGTAAAAGTTCATCTTCAAGATAGCCCTGGTAAGAAAGAAATTACCCCTTGGTTGAACTTGGCGCGTGTTTTTATAAACTCCTGAATGTAACCATGTGTCTCCACAGGAGAAAACAGCACTGTGGAGGACGATGGCATTCCGTGGAGACTCTCTATCTGTGGTCACGGCATTAAGAGCTCTTGGTCTCAGTTCCACAAGCCCTCTTTGAAGTGACCTGACTTTACAAGTGTGCTCACCTTTGTAAGGAGCCACCATTGTCCAGTAGGCATTAATCTCAGATCTTGAAAGGGCAGAAACAAAATTTTACTGAGTATAAGATAAAGCTTATAGAAAATGTGTAGCTTCAATCTTTTTTAGTGTACATCTCAGCAATGTCCCCAATCGGTTATATGCTAGCAAGGTAGCAAAGACAAAAACCTCCCGGGAAGATTGCACAACTCTTCTTGATAGGATTGAACTATCGACTTGTACGGTATGTGGATGAAGTGCCAGTTAAAAGTGTTAGAATAACAAATAATAAAGTAGGAGTTTCTTTTGAGGGCCGAGTGAAGGAGTACATGTCAGTCCCGTAGGCTGGTCAGTGGCAGATGGTGGCTTTACTTTTACCAGTTGCCAATGAGTCGATGCAAAGTCCATGTGAGTCAGCTGGAACTGGGCTCCGTGGTGTCTTCAAAGACTTTCAGAAGGCCTTTCTTCTGAGGTGGCTCTGAATAGCCTCAAACCTCCAACCTCTTGGTCAGCAGCTAAGTGTCTAACCCTTCATGCCACCCAGGGGTCCTTATATTCAACTCCACTTTGAAGTCTGGTTCCCACCCAAACCAAGCCACTGCCACAGAGTTGATTCTGATTCACAGTAGCCCCATCTAGGGTTGTGAAGGCTACAGATATTTATGGGAGCTGAAAGCCTCATCTTTCTCCTGGAGAGAGGCTGATGGGTTTGAACCACCAACCCTGCAGTTACCCAACAGTGCAAGTAGGGCTCCCTGAAGTCTGCTAGATGCACGTACAGCCTTATTTTCCTACCTACCTACCCCCAAACTTGCTTCAGCCGTAATCTGTTCCCTCTCAGGTGACGACAGCTCCATCCTTCAGGTGCTCAAGGAAAAAAAATCTTGTCATCATCCTTCATCCCACCTTCTCTCTCACACACCCAAACTCAATCCTATTGGCCTTAACTTAAAGCTGTATTCGAAATAGGATTGTTGTCTATTACATCACTCGATATCCCCGTGTGAGCCACCATCGTCCCTGTGCCCCAGCTACGCCTCTGTCTGGATTATTCTCTCCCAGGCAGCTCCTTGGCTCCTGTGATAGGTAGGTTTTGTGTCAACTTGGCCTGGCTGGGATTCTCCATGGTTTGACACAGCTCACAGCCTGATGATGTCTCCTGGGGGTGGGACCTGTTCTGATACCAATGAAAGACACTCCATGGAGAACGGCTTCCTTTCCCTGCCTTCCTCTCTGCTGGCATGGATCCCGTGCCTGGTCCCTTGGGACCTGTGCCCACCGCCTGCAAGAGTGCCTGCCAATTCTGCAAGCCATCTGTGGCCTGCCATCACGTCTGATTTATCAGCCCATCACTGCCTCCACCAGTCTCTGGTTATCCTGATTCCCAGACCAGGGGATCGATGTGAGACAGGAAAAGCCTCCAGCACCATATCTGACTACCAGCCTGGATGTGGTCATTTCTGCAACCGCGTGAGCCCCTTTCCTTGGCACAAACGTCTCTTTGCGTATATATACAGACGTGTCACGCCTTCTGCTTCTCGAGAAATCTCAGCCTGGCATGGTTCCCTAGCCTCTTTCTGGTGTTGGTTCAAATGTCACCTGATCTTTGAGACACATTCCTGCAAACCCCACCTCTGAGCAGACATACTGTGGGCGTCCTAAGCAAGTGTGGCCCAGGTTGGCGTGGGGTGAAGTAGCATCAGATCTCTATTCAAGAGTAACAGGATCTGAGAGAGAAAAGCTACCCTAAAAGCTATCTCTGGCTCCTATCTGTGTTTCCACTGATGTTCCTATCAGGCGCAGATTTGATCACCTGTGGTATTCAGAAAATTGCCATTGTAGGGGATCCACTCCACGCTCACCCGGCTTTGAAAATGGTCTTTCTTCCGTCTGAAGCTGTCTCTGGAATTCCTTCATCTGGATCTTGGTTCGGTCCTTCTTGTTGTTGTCAGGTGCCATCAAGGCAGTTCTGGCCCACAGCGACCCTCTGCACTACAGATGGAAGCACGGCCCGGGCTTGCTCCAGCCTCACAGCTGTCCCTATGGTTGAGCCCATGTTGCAGCCACTGTCTCGTCCATCTTGCTGAAGGCCTTCCTCCTTTTCAGTGCCCCTCTGCTTTACCAAGTGTGATGGGCCTTCTTCAGGGGCGGCCCTCTCCTGACACCAGGTCCAAAGTCCTTGAGATGCAATCTTGCCTCTAAGGCACATCCTAGGTGTGCTTCTTCCAAGACAGATTTATTTGTTCCACAGGCAATCCATGGTACTTTCAATATTCTTGCCAGCGCCATTATTCAAATGCATGGATTCTTCTTTGGTCTTCCTCATTCAATGTCTTTTACATTGCTTCATATACATGTGAAAGATTGCCACCTCTTTCTCCCAGGTCTGCTGGGTTTGAACTGCCAGTCTTTCTGTTAGCATCTAAGTGCTCTAACCACTGTGGCATCAGGACTCCTTTCTGTAAAAAACACCCTGTGATGCTGGGGCTGGCATTGCCCTCAACGACCACTTTGTCAAACTCATTTCCTGGTATGACAGTGAATTTGACTATAGCCACAGAGTGGTGGACCTCATGATCCACATGGCCTCCAAGGAGTAAGAGCCCCCCTGGACCACCAGCCCCAGCAACAGCACTAGAGGAAGAGAGGCCCTCAGCTGCTGGGGAATCTTTGCCCCTAATTCAATCCCCCAACACACTGAGAACATTCCATCCAGACCCCCTGAAGGAAGGGGAGGGGCTTAGAGAACTCGACCTTGTCATGTACCATCAATAAAGTACACTATACCCAGAAGAAAAAAAAAAGCACCCTGTGGTTGAAAACACCATGACTCAGGTACCATGCCACCATCAGATAGCTTCGTTAGGCCCACAAACCACTTGCTGCAGACTTGACACCAATTCCTTGCCACCCTGGGTGGATCGGAGTAGAAAATCGTTCCACTGGGCTTCAGCAGCAGACCTCTTTTTGGAAACAGACTGCCAGGCCTTTCTTCCAAAGTGCCCCTGGACAGACTCAAGCCTCCGATCTATTGATCAACAGCTGAATGCATTCATTGTGCGCATCACAATGGGCCGTCAATCCAACAATTGGGTTTCAAGCTATTACCAGCCCCCATTCCCAATAAATATTTCCTTGTCATCCAGTTTATTTCGACTCAGGACAACTTTCCCTAGTCTGTTACAGAGGAGAAAACCACGGGGTGTTCTTACAGAGAGGTGTCCTGATGCCACAGTGGTTAGAGCGCTTGGTTATAATAGAAAGACTGGCAGTACAAACCCACCAGACCTGGGAGAAAGAGGTGGCAGTCGTCCTCTATCAAGGTTACAGCCTTGGAGACCCTAGGGAGCAGTTCTACGCTGCCCTACGAGACACTGGAAGTTGGGACAAGCTTGCTGGCAACAAGGTGTTTGTTTGTTTGTGGAAGTCTGTTGGCTGGCCTTTCTTCCACGGTCTTCCTAGGTGGGTTCAAATGATCACCTTCAGGTTTCAATGATCGAGGTTTCAAGGACGCTTCAGATTATTCCCTTTGCCACCGAGTTGATTCCAACTCATGGGATCCTCTATAGGGTTTCAGAGTCTGGAACTCTTTCTAGGAGCAGCCAACCTCTTCATTCTGCCTCAGAGGGCTGGTGGGTTTGAACCTTCAACCTTGCAATCAGCAGCTCCACCCTTAAGCTCCCTGGAGGCAGCCTGTGAGCACTCAGCTTGTGAAAATTCCACTCTGCTCTCCTTTATTCCCAAGGAGAGAGCATCTTGGGCTCCCTTTATGAATATGGAAATGCACAGATTGGAGAGAGGCGTACATCAAAAGCCTTGAAGATGGAAGGAAACACGCGTCCTACACTGGGCCTTTTCACGCCTTGGAAAGAACTCAAGAGAGCTCCCTCTGAAACACTCAGCCTTCCCAGATGGCGCTGTCCCGCCGACTGCCTTTGTTGCTGCACATAAGGCCCTTCTGACGCCCCGAATTCCAGGAATCTGGGCTTCTGCCAGAGCAGCGGAAGGATACGCATAATGGCAAGTCTCACCCACTCAGGGTGGATGTGTTTCTGGTTTGCTTGTTTTTTTAATTTCCCCCCCCCAGAAATACCCTAAGTGCTTTTCTTAGAGAAAGCAGCCATTTCACACTTTGGGACAAACACGGAGTGCGACTGGGGGGCCTAGCTGCGAAGAGCACCTCCGTGCACGGCAGCCACCTCCATTCTTCGCCAACTCGTGAGAGGACACATTGATAACAGGCCCAAATCAAGCCCACTGCAGGTGAAGCAACTCCAGCCCATAGCGACCCTATACCTTAGATAGGGTTTCAGAGGCTGTAAATCATTATAGAGGCAAACAGCCGTATCAATCTCCCTCATGGCAAGTGGTGGATTTGAACTACCAACCTTGCAGTCCAACGCTTAACTGACACCACCAGCAGGACTCCTTAAAATAGCAACCCCAGCCATCAAGTTGATTCCAACTCACTGTGACCCCATAGGACAGGATTGACCTGCCCCGGTGGATGTCTGAGACTGTAACTCTTTTCAGGAGTAGAAAGCTTCCTCTTTCTCCCTCAGAGGGGCTGGTGGTTTTGAACTATTGACCTTGTAGTTAGCAGCCCAACGCACAATCACCACGCCACGAGGGGTCCTTCTATCCAGGGACAAAGACTGGCAAAACGGAACTAGAGATTTTACCATGGCCGGCGTGGCCTGCTTTTAACATCCTGAGAACAATGTGGCCAGTCTGAAGCTTCAGCTGTTCAGGGGCCGTAGCTGCCTTGCTTCTGTAGAACTTCCAGACCAAAGCAAACTAGGAAGAAGGAGGCTTGGTGATTTCCTGCCAAATATGGGTCAGTGACAGCCCTGTGGGCCACAGTCGACTGGTCCAATGGTGCACAGGCTTGCTGTAGCTCAGGAGTCGACTCCAGCGCGGCCATCAACAATGTGAGGGCCAGAGTCTTCCAGACATTGGAACTGTGCTAGCCAATCAAACAGGAAGAA